ATCCTATAGAGGCACAGGCTTTCAATTAGCTATGATGCTGGTTTATTCTTTGAAGGTATAGATTGTAATGTTTTTATATGTCCGGTCTAAAACAGGTCCTTCTATGCCGAGGATGATAACGATAGGGGACCTGCATGTCTGTATCAACCTGTAGCATTGTTAGAGCTGTCGGTACAACAAACAGACCCTGTATACAATGTGCGGATTTTAATCACCTCTACGGCCATTGTTTGAATAATTAATGGAGTTGGCGTTATACTGGGTCAACGTATATTCTTATCGTGATCAATCTATCTACATGATATTGACCAATTGTTGACCAATGGTGTGATGATCCGTTGTCCTAAAATAACTGTTTCCACATTCCCACCATTCGAGTTTTTCCCATTTTAGATTGTTTCTGATAGTGCTGTGTATCCAGAGGGATATTTTATCACATGTTGTATCTACTTTTTTCACTGCTTGAATAGAACTTTTTTTCACCCAATACAAAATGACTAAATTTTGGCTCTATTCCTTAAAGCTTGTGACAATTAATTTTCAGCTTCATTTTCTGATTCAAATAATTAATTATTTTAATTTTCACATAATCTTTTTCTATTATAGGAGTTCACCAGCAGGTGGAACAATTCCCCATGCATCAACACACCAAATCTCCAACATATTGGAAAGTCAAATTACACACTACACTTTGAAGAGAAGAATTATGTAATTCGGTTGCAAACAGTTTTTCAATCTGCTGATGTTCTGTTATGTTGGTACAATCTGTCAGTGCTGTTTTAAAATGAACTCAAAAATAATCTCTCCAGAAAAGTTCTTGATTCAGTTTCAGAAGCTTTACAAAAACACTTTAATATATATATTCCATGAGTTAAATATACATCTGTACCATACCATCAATTTACCCAAAATCTATCATCATTATACTAAAATATGCCATCAATTTACTAGAATATACCATTAATATACCAAAATATACCATCAATATACTAAAATATGCCAATTTACCAAAATATACCTTCAAAAGATACTATCAATACACCAAAATATATACCACAAATATGTCATAGGCTATATTTAATGCTGAATCATTTATGAAAGTTATTCAAGCAGTTATTTGCACTTTTTATTTCATTACTCATAAATAAATATTTACATACCTATACTTCTGTTTTCCTCCATTTTTTAAGGATATTTTTCCCAAATTCTATATTGTAACAATTACATTTCCCAGTTTGTACTCAAGATAAATTTAAAATCAAACCCACATGAAAACTCATGATCTCTGTAATACAGTTTTAATCAGGACGACTTCAGAAATAGTGTTATCACATCTGTTGCCCCCATGAACCACCAACAGGATTTAAACAAAACCTGTTATTGGGTGGAAATCTGATTTTCTTTCAATCCATGCAATGAAACAATGACATTAAAAAATTGATACTTAAATCTGACTAAATTAAATTCAATCAAATTTTAACCTCTATGATTGATAGGGCTGTCACAACATATCGGAAAACAGGTATATCGCAATACACGGGTAAATGGTATGGTACCACAATCCAGAGATGACATATTGCTGCATTGCAATATTCTTTTAAAAACTTGTTTTTATGTATCTCAGTCTGTTTGGTGTTTTAACTTTGCAAATTACTACAAATTCCAACAGATATGCCAATAAGCATAGAACAGGCTTTTAATAGTGGTGGGAATTAGTTCAAATTATGTAATCGATCGTTGGTTTCTGACAACAACTTATCATAAAATCGAGCACATCTTTCCTATGACAATATATCGGGATACGTATCGCAATATATTCATTCTGTATTGCAATGTGACACCCCTAATGAGTGAACATCTCTATTTGGGTTTTTTCCGTCATTTTCAACTTAATAATTTTTTGATCTGAATTTGTTATGCAATATTTGACGTAATTAGGGCAACTGCTTTCACAGCAGTTCACTTAATGATTTTAAAAATATAACAAGGATGCTTGAGGTAAATTCTTTTAAATTAATTCATTCCAGATTTTCAAACTGCATAAAACTGCCAAGTAACATGATCTGTTTTTACTGTAAAATGGACAAAAAACAATCAACTGCTTTATTTACAGAAAATTCTATTTGTGAGTAGGGTAAGGACTCGGGTAAATAAAATTATTGAATTTATCAAAATTAATAAACATGTTCATGCACTGTGCTCATATATATATTAATTTCCATAAATGAATAATTAATATTTTTATTTCATTTACTTTGCAACAAAATGATAATTAATATGATTCAGGTTATTGATATATTATTATATATTAATTTATACAATATTTGTATTTTTGTGAGTGGATTATCCACTGTCATGTTGATCAGAAATAAATAATCTGCCGCTGAGATATGCAATCAATATAAGCGATAGCTTATTACCAAATATTTCATAGCCATGGCACAATTGTATTATGATGTTACCTTGCCTAGATAAATGTTTTTCTAATTAGATTGTGACACCACTTTTATCAACTGTAATGTGATGTTAATTGAACTAATCATTTCTCTTAAAAAAAAAGATAGAAAAAGGTATACGAAGCTTATAGCGTTAAAAATCTAGCCCACCTTACTGTGACAGCCAGTGTACAGCACCATTTGCTGTCTTGCTTACGCCAACATACCGTATCAATGTCAAAATATTTATTAAGATTTCTTTAACTCACTCACCTCTGGAGACACATCTGAACTTTTCCAATTCAAAAGTTGGAATAATTCATTATGAATTTTCAAGGGTAAACGAGTTAAACTGTATGTCCTATAAATCAACAAAATTCACCGATCAAAAAGGATACTGAATCAGCGTAAATGAGAAATAACAGCAGAATTGTACGAATTTTAAATGATCAAATACACAGTATTTTTGATGTTGTAATTCATGTCTGATCCATTAAGTATACTTTTAGAATTTACAAAGGCAGTAGTTTAGTACAACACTCACGACTAGAAGCTCAATAATCAATATAGCTTAGCAAAGAGGTTTTAAATTCAATTTTCAAATGATATTAGTGTTTTCCAGGTTATTATCGGTTATTATTGCTATAATTCAATCATTATGAATGCTTTACAAAATTTGAAACTCAAAAAAATGTTAAATTTTATTCTCAACACGACACAACGTCATGCATGAAAGACCATTATGATACCAGAACTGAATTGTTCAAAGTTTTGTCACCTTATAGATGGTAATATCAATATTAAACACACATAAACTTATTGTTAAATTGTCAACCTACAGGACTCTTATAAGTTCATGTATCTGTTTAACAAATATTGGAGTTTTCAAAAATATTGACAATGAAAGCTTTGCATCTAAAGATCTAACAAGTTTCTGAAAGAAATAACAAAAGATGTTTATCAATTTAATATAAGCTACAAAAACATGTTCCAAATATATATTTTCAATTTTGTCTTCCTGTTGACTTTTTGACATCAAGTATTTGATAGCAAAGTAACACTCATTTTATGGGCCAGACTTGCATTGCTAATGAAGCAATGATTCTCTGAGGCACATATTTAGATTACAAATGCAATTATTGTTTTCTTGCTCATGGAATTTCGCAATTTAATGTAAAATTTGTCCTTTGATCATCGAAAAAACAAATTAAAATTATTGCCACTTAATCCTTTCACAAGGTAGATCTTTGGTTTCAATACGTTAGGGAAATCAGGCCTGAATAGGTAATCTTTAATGAATTGCTGGCGAGGAATCCACCCCATAAATGGTAGGTTTATATGCCATATTTATCCTGCAATAAGCCCATGCCTGGTAATAGGCCCACCCATATATATTGCAATTCAGTAGCCAAATATAGCCAACAAATGCTAGGGTAAATATTGTACAGTAAAAAATATTAGCATGATCACGGAGTGGGAAAAAGTATATGGTGGAAGGGAGAGGGCAAGCGGTGGAGAGGTTGATGGGGGCTGGGCGGGGGTCACACACTTGCCAACTCTCACGATTTTGGACCCTAAAATTGAGCATTTTCAACCAGTGAATTTGCTAAACAATTTCATCCGAAACACAGCTCAAAAGATGCCATTTAAAAGTGATGTTTTTTCCCTAGGGTGTACATACACACATTTTATTGATGTATATATATAATTCTGAGTACACATAATCTCCCCACAGAAATTTCAAAAAGTTGGTGAAATGGGGGGGGGTCTTCTAATTCAAAAATGTTTTAAGCAAGAAAATTGCATTTTTTTAAAATTTTGATGGTGGTTTACTGATCAGTGCACAGTCTTTAAAACCTACATAAGATGGAAGTATCCATTATATTTCAAGCATTTCAAGGTTCATTACATACCAATGTATTTAGAAGTACATCCATTGATCTGTAGAACCTTATCAATTATTTACGAAACTTCACTTTACTGTCGGTATAACCTACATAAATTAGATATACACTGTTTACCGATCAGCTGGATGAATAACGATTACGGGTAAAGCTATGCAAGATTGAAGCATTAATGTTTATCATCTTTAATAACGGATCGGCTGTTGTCATTATAATAGGTCCCTTTTTCTCCAATTTGTCAAGATGAATATGCCCTATTTGTGAAAAATACAGGTCTACATGAAAGTTGATTTACACAATTTCATTTTTTCTTCTATTTATAAGCCTTATCATGATAATTTTTCTTCTATTTATAAGCCTTATCTTAACCAAGAATTGTTAATACCTCTGCAAATAAAAAAAATATTCACATCATCATCAGTTGATAACTATGGTGTTTTATTTTCAATAATTATCAAACTACAAACAGAAATAAAAAGTTACTACTGGAAGGGCACCTGTTAACTCGTTAAAAACAGTGTGTTACGGCCGGATATCATTCTAAAAAAACTATAATTAGATGTTCATCTGATGGTAAAAATTAAAAACACAAACATTATACACCAACGCATACATAGAGCTGCTCTGTACCGACACATTATCCCCTATTACGATACTTCACCTGTTGAAGATCCCTGTTGGCTTAGTCCAATGTAATTGTCTGGGTCCTATGGCACAATGTTCCATTGGTAGGGTAGCTAATTTTATAGTATTATCCTTTCAGCCTGATCTAGGCTTGGTAGTATCACTCAAACATCCAGCCATTATACGGCATTTCCCTACTAGCTTAACAGCTCCAAGTCTCCTTAATTCCGTTTTCTAGATCCTTTCCTAGCTAGTATTAGATGTAAATCAATACATGTTTCTGAGTCACGCCAACAGGGAGGAACAAAACTGGGGACATTCCCATCCGAATGAATCCAACGATAGTCTATATTCACTTGATGTTTGGCAAATAAAAACGTACGGATATAATTTCGAAATTACAACCAATCGAACTGGCAAAATAGGTTGTGATGACACATGATCGCGCGCTAAGTGACAGCGTTTCAGCATCGGACAATGACACGAGCGGTAGAAAGTTGCCGATATGCTCTAGGCCTTATATCATGAATGTTTACATTTTCATCCCCCTGTCAGAAAGAAAAACCTATTCGTTACAGCTTAGTTGTTATCATTTATGCATTGCATGTGTTCTATATTTAACTCCATAGACTCCCACAGTTCGAGACAGATCGGGTTTCCGAGCGAGCACATGATTTCGGTAAGAAGCCGAGCAGCAGCAGCAACTGAAATGTCAATTCCACGAGAACGAACACATGCGCATGTTTCCGGTTTTGACAGCCGCTGAACGTGTCAAGGGAGGTAACTCGGTTGCTGCTTCACACGCTGGTAGTTACATGTAAATCACTAGTCTACAAATATATGTGATCAGGGACGTATTGCATTTATTTTTTATTTTTATACATATCTCACGTAACATAGAACTTACAATAGACATTAGCATTTATGTTATTTTATTTATAAAAACTAACGTTAGACAAATCTCCACAAATTCAACGCTAACAGTTAGCTCTAGAACAATCACAGAGCATATCATTTAACCCTTTCTATTATATAGTCTAGTTTGTTCGTTGTTTGTGGTAGATCCGGTGACAATATTTACATAAAATCAACATCAGATAGCCTACTTAAACACACAAAAAATATTTCGTTGAGCGGGATGCTCGTTTGGCCGGTTTAGCGAGATAAGCCAGTATATACGTCTCTGGTCTGACGTAGGCTAATCCGGATTAACGAGATTCGCGCCCAGCATAGAAAGGATTAAAGAAGATCCATACTTTTTTGCGTGTGTTTTTTTTTTATTTTAAGATTCATAAAAGAAACTTGTGTCTGACTAAGTTTGCAGTAACGGGATTCATGGCCGTCTTATTCCGAATTAACGAAATTTACATCCGTCTCAGTTTGGATTTTTTTATATATAAATATGGCATACATGATATACTTTATAACGTTTTACAAATAAGATGTTTCCTTTATTATTTGAAGAATTTAAGACCACAATCTTTAATACTGTTGATTGGAGACAGTTTCTCCCCTGTAATGATAATAAGATATAATTAAGATCAATAAATACCGTACATAGATTTTAATAGGCCAAAATGAGGATTTTACAACCCTTTGACAATCAGGTCTAAATATTAAAAAAATAAAAAATAAAAAAAACATATTTCAAAAGTTACGACGATTAGATTTTGATTTTTTCTTTAAAACTATATTTCTGAGCTTAGTTTAGCCAGTGTTCATCTCATTTATATTCAAATTGTTTACTGTGCTGGAATTCAGAAACATTAGACGGAGGACTGTTCCATAAATCAGTAGTTCTCTGTGTAAATGATTTTTTTTCTAATGTTTAATCTTGAATGCGATTTGTAAATTTTAAAGTTGTGTCCACGTGTAGATGAACTTTCCCTGATATTCATTATGTCGGTTTAGTTTGGTTTGGTTTAATATTGTTTAACGTCCTATCAACAGCTATGGTCATTTAAGGACGGCCTCCCGTATGTGTGTGTGTTTTGGGAGGCTGCGACATGCGTGTTTGTCTCCTTGTGGTTGGTTGGTTGGTTGGTTGATGGGTTTATAGACCAATTTTCATGAGCGAAGCCCGTGTTCTGTCGTCTTGAGGGGGTAAGACTCCAGCTTACCGGGCCCTCGGTGATTCAAAATAACCTTGCCCGTCCAGGTCACGCCCTAAGGTCGGTCAGCTCCTTAGATGCGGATAGGCTGTTGCAGTTACATACAGCACGTATACGGGAACACGTAAAACACGTCCTTTAAACAGCTTCACTGCCCTCCTATGGTCTCCTTGTGATAGCGCGGCCGACTTTATAGTGCTGCACTAGTACCTCACTAAAATATACTGCCGAAGACTCCCAGCAAGACATCCCACCCGGTCACGTTAAACTGACAACGGGCGATTATGTCGGATAGGCCTACTTCATAGTCATATTTCCCATCCATGTTACGTTATATATTTTGTTTTCCTTTCTTTGATAGAAAATGTATAAATGTTGCCAAACGATAGAATTTCCCTCCTGTCTGAGGATTTGCCTTAGTGCAATAGCCTCAGTTCCATGTTATATTTTAGATTGCTCTGGCGCAGAGATTTCAGTTATGCGCAACATGGCTTACACTGCACTTGACCAAGCCTGTCAGGAAATTCAAATTGACACTTTCCTCGACTGTTCTGATGCCGTGCGAGATATGTATGGAGACGACGATGTGCTAGTAATGGCTTTATTACGAGAATCGCTCAGAAACCCTTTCTCTTACTTTTCTTTGTCACACTACGATAGGTTTTGAACCGACGGCTGTCTATACTGGAGAGTTACGGCAGTAAGTTCTAGTGTATAAGCATGTGTTGTTTAAAGTATCTAACATGCTTTGTTTGTCATTATCTCATATGATTACAATCAATAAATCTTAACCCTATAGTCAATGCCCATTAAATAATGTTTTATACTTATTTTTCTATGTATTTTTTTTCACACAACTCATCATGTTTGGAACGAAGATATAAGTGAAATGATTCATTCAAACATATTTCATTGACCTGAATAGTCAAAGGGATTAGGCACAAGTTCAAGTTCTTACAACTTACTAGGCCTTCTCTTGTATACATTATTGATCGGTTTAGTCCAAAGTATCAGAGGTACCTTTTTTTCATGTTATTGCATGTTCTTGGACAATCAACACCAGAAAGCAAAGATGAAAACAAAAGCACAAGTCACCTAGCGAGATTCACGACTGACGTTATCCCAATCAGCGAGATTTGCGTCTTGCATATATGTTGTTGGGATTAACGAAAATCCATGTGACCTGCTGAACAGACACGTGTGTGAAGAACGTTTATTGATTTTATTTATCTTCTTAAAGAATAGCTTGTATTTGTCAAAAGAATATTCTTTGTTAAGAGTGCTATTCATGCTGATTTCATGTAAGTATCGAACTTACCAGGAAACATTGTCACGCTGGTGAGACGAGTTAAACACGTGCGGTGTAGTAACAGATATGATTCGACTAAAACATCACGTCAGCAGTATTTTTGCTATTGATAGCTCCTATTTTTTGCGTGCTTTCATAAAATATTTCTTACGATATAGCGTGAAAAATGAAAGTCGGGAAGTTTCAGAGCATGCAACCAACAACACATCACACGGTTATTGCTGTTCGATAGAGATCTTTGGTACCGGACGAAACAACATGAAACTTACAGTACCAATCAACACTGCTTCCTTCCTGGTGTTAATACACTTGCATTTGATTCAGATAGTAATACATGTAGTAGTTCATTTAAAACAAGATCAAATAGTGGATCATTATTCTCCCGACCCCACGGAATTTGGAACTTCAAATATGTCTGTATGACACTCTTTACATCACAATGTATTTATATCATAACGCAGAACAGAGACTATAATCGAGGGGTAGTATAATTCTGCAGATTTCATGGTTATGACACTGGAGGTGTTAATTTATGATTAAGTTATCACCGCTGAAAGCAAAGAATTCATTTTAACCGCAAGATACATTACAGAAAATTGACACCACACAAATTATTAAATAAGATTTTAGCCTATTTACATCTTTCTGACAACTTCCAGATTTTAAAAACAATTAACCGAATGTTGTAATAAGCATGTATGTCGTATGACAGCTTCTACATGTATTTGGCAATAGACGAAGAAACTGACGAAATCAGGACAAAAATCACCAATTAACAAAAGTCTAAACAAATACACGCGTTACATTGCAACTACTGCATGGTTGGACTTCAGATTATGCAAACGTATATAGTATTATTCAAGTTTGTAAGAAAGTATCAAGATATGTAAGAAGAAAAAATATTATGTTTCACCTCTTAATTGTCCCGCTCGACAACTTTAAGCCGCAAGATATATTACCATATCGCACGTTCATTACGCTAGGTATTTACTATCTGTTTTGTAGCAGACGATCTCTTAGAAATGGAACCGGGATGTTAATGCATCTTTGCCAGTTAAAATGTCGTTTGATTGAATAATGTAGAAATTTTATATAGCAGAAATAATGTTTAAATGTAAATATAACAAAACAAATAGAAAAAATATGGACAACAATTTCAAAAAGACGCTTTATCGTTCAAAACAGGATCCATGAATCTCGTTACTGAGACTACGATAGACATCTAGCAATCTAAGCCGTTCCTTTGAAAAATTCAGGATGTTAACAGATGTGAACCCCGTTACTTCGAAACAAGACATGTTTATACATCATTCCGCTGCAGACGTGGGCCTTGCTGATCCGGGATCCGGACAAAGACAGACGCGGAAACCCGCTATTCTGGATAACGGCAGATCTTTGGCTCGGCGAGGTTCACTTCGGCACTGAGAAGTGAACCTCGCCGAGCCAAAGATCTGCACTGAGACGTGGACCTCGCTAATCGAGACTACGATCGACCCTTTAAAATTAACCTCGCGATTCCGGGGAACGACAGACGTGAATCTCTCTAATCCGGACACCGACAGACCTGATACCGGGGTAACGTAATTCTATCTTCATCTGATATCACAAATTGTATGTGGGGTCGGTTCTGTCTGATTGCTTGTCTGATAATTCCTTATGGTCTGGTCAAGTGCTACTGGTCAAAATGTGTGACAATGTTACCTTTTTGCTCATTGATGTCCCATTTCGACGTTCCAGATATTTTCCGCTCCTTTCCAGTATTTTCGATTCCTGCTCCTTCATTTGTTGCTGTTCTCTAGGCCTTTTTTTAAAGTAGCGTCACCCGATATCCTGTTCCATACCTACCTATGCAGGATAACAAAACAGCATTCGACCCAATTTCATTGTGTTTCGAGCTTCTTTTCCTTGGATTAGTGATGTCACTGGGAACTGCTGTTTTGCTGATTTACGATAGAGACCGACATTTGTTAAGTTTTGTCGTACTCTAAGCTTTGTTAAGTTTTGTGGTACTCTAAGCTTTGTTAAGTTTTGTGGTACTCTAAGCTTTGTTAAGTTTTGTGGTACTCTAAGCTTTGTTAAGTTTTGTCGTACTCTAAGCTTTGTTAAGTTTTGTCGTACTCTAAGCTTTGTTAAGTTTTGTCATACTCAAAGCTTTGTTAAGTTTTGTGGTACTCCAAGCTTTGTTAAGTTTTGTGGTACTCTAAGCTTTGTTAAGTTTTGTCATACTCTAAGCTTTGTCGTACTCTAAGCTTTATTAAGTTTTGTCATACTCTGAGCTTTGTTAAGTTTTGTCGTACTCTAAGCTTTGTTAAGTTTTGTCGTACTCTAAGCCATGAGCGATCTACCGCCATGGTAATGACTTCTGCTTGGCAGATCTAGAACAGACGAGTCATTAAGTCCATACATGGTACACTGTCAGTTTCTGTATTACTGCCAGGGTCAATATGTGCGCACGTCAGATACTTTTTTTACCATAATCTAGGTTAATTGTCGTCCCCTTAATTTTGTCATAACCTTGACATGACCTAGTTTATCTAGATAATTACCATTGACCTATTTGATCTAGATTAATGACCATCATGACCTTGGCTATCAATTCATGACCTTGACTTTATTGACCTAGGTTAATTCATGGCATGACCTTGGGTATGACATAGACCGTATTAATGAGTTTATTGCTGTAACCTTGGTAATGACCCTGACCTTGCATATCAATGATAATTGTTAACAAAACGTTGACATTACTGAAATATGCCAATTAATCAACAACAACCGTTTATGTTAATTTCTATCCAAAATACTTTAAGATTGACCTTACTAACTAGGCTAATTGATATAATATTCTTTGTAACAACATTAACCTCAGATCAAAGATTATTGTTAAAACTATGATCTTGATTATGAAACTGACCTTACAAACTAAGGTTCCTTGTTATCATCTTAATTAATGTTGAGCTTACTGGGTTTTTTTTTTTAGAATTTGTATTTAGCCTCGCATATTCCAAACAATAAACATTAGCACTGTAGTACTATTCTTGCCACAAAAACGATAATGTAGACTGAAAATTGTCAGGTGAAGATTTGAACACATTAAACCTTTCACCACTGTAGACCATAATGGACTCCATATCAATGCACTGTAGAGTTTACTAAAGTTACAAAGGGGTGAAAGGGTTAAACCTGGGTCGTTTTCGTTTAAACAATTAAACCAGTAGGACCACAGTTGTTTGTTTATTAAATAAGGTCTGACCGAGTAATCTGATGCTGCTTTCAGGCGAGCCTTGACAAAGCCTTACAAGGCCTGCATACACATTTGCAGGTCGGCCAGGATTGATACCCGATTTTGTTACATTTATAAACGGACAAACCGGTTGTTCGCATAAACGAACAGGCCCCTGGTAACAGGGAATGCAGTACAAAGTTTATATTTGGACAAATTTGATAAACCTAAACCCATGCAAGTTACAGGTAAAATATCATTACTCTAGGCCTTATGGTTTGTTAAAAGTCAGCTTGAAAATTTGACACATGTATATGACTCCGACTACAAATTTGACACATGTATATGACTCCGACTACTGTGTCCTTATGTGTGTATCAAGTTATTTTTTTAACAAAGTTGATAGCCCTTCATCCTTGCAAGCTGAAAGACAAATATATCATTACCCTATGTATCATGGTTTGTTAAACATATTGTTTGAAGATTTTGAAGCATATGACCCCTCTGACCTTGAAATTAGGTCAAATTGAATTTATTTGAACAAATTTGATGGCTCTCCACTAAAAAAAAAAAGGTACATGCATAGTATCAAGACTGTATACCATGCATAGGGATTGAAACAAGTATAGTGTTGAAAGATGTTCACTTTCCTAACCAAGGTATTCGATCTCTGTGACCTTGCAAATGGTTTGTTACTTATATGAATACAAACTGATAGTTCTTGATTTAAGCAAGCTACCAAACTGGTAGTCAAAAACCAATACTCATGACTTTATTTATCTTTAGACATTAAGTACCTTTAGTCACTTTTAATCTTAAACACAGGATTAGCCCACAGAAACTTTAATCTATATGAGCTAAGATTGAAAGGCATTTTCCATATTTAAAAAACATACAGCAATTTCATTTTTTTAAAACCATTCTCAACACCGTAAAGCACGATTCAATTATCCATGACAGCTTAAATATTGACTGAAAAAATACATGCATGATGTTTTTTGGTGCTTGTTTCGAGAATCAATAAATCAAGTGTTACTGCTTCGATGTATATTTACCCGTTGTACACCATTTACTCTCAAACAATCCAAGCCATTGATCACAATTTAAAACTGTATGTGCTGCTAAGTGCAGCCATATTTTACATGTAACTTGAGAAATCAAAATGAAAATTTATTACAATTTTCCTAAAAAGCCTGAATATACCATAAATACTTAAGTGTGAGATATGTTTTAAACGTTTTAAGATGTAGCCTCTTGAGATATGGCATCCTGTTCCAATCCTACAGCACTAAAAACACTAAAGTTCTATTGTCGTATGGGCTATGTCAGCAGTACAAATCATCGTCAAGGCACGACAGTCCAGGAAGTTACATAAACCATCATTAAATAGTTCTTTAAATGTTGTCAGTTTTTCTCAGTTTTACTGCAGCTTGAACCAGATTTAAATACCAAGCTTCATTATAAACCATCTGAAAATTTAGTAGCTCCTATGATTTACAATATGTGGAATTTCGATTTTTATAATTATTGATCTATTACCCTCTGCAATATTGGTATGAATTTATATATTTCTTTGTTTCCAGGATTTTAATTACCGCCGATACTGTAAAACGGGAAACTTTTGCTCAGTCAAATTTTCACCCTTTGCCATTGAAATCTATAATCACCAAGTGTTAATTTTGTCCCTGGCATATATAAACTATGTGTACAATATAATTTTCTCATATTCGTTGTCATGATAGCCCTCATTACAGAGTGTGAAAAAGACAAAAGTTAAATTGTGGCAAACATTTCCTGGTATACAGTTACCCCAGCTCCAGTGTAAACCCTTGTAATCAAATACATAAGAGGTTTGCCTGGACATACGTACATTAAAGTGTGCGGTAAATCGTATATATTGTTTCATTAAATTGTTAACATAAACAAAAACGGTGTTAAAATGAGTTCTGTATTTTCACTAGCAAATGTGTAAACTGTGAAACCATACTTTGGTAGTTTTGTTTGCTGATATACACACATATAATGGGTATCCATTTCAGTTCAGGGTACATGGGATTCTGGGAGAGAACTTGGGACTGTGTATTCTGCCAAGGACCAGAATAAATAGGAGCACCACCACTCAGGGACCCTTTTATTTTGCCATCAAAATGAAATGTCACAATTTGTTCAGAGGAGCACCTTATATTTCATTTTACATATGATTAAGTGAAAGCAGTTCAATACTCATATATGTAAGTTATACCTAGTACAACAGATAAGGTTTAACAATGTAGATGTGGGTGAATTGTGGTGTTATCACATGTGTGGCCTGGGTTGCTCATAGGTTGGCTAGCTTTAACCCGAGGTTGGTGAACAATCCAACTTGTTGCCTATAAGAAATATGGGCTTTCCTAGATTGGGTCCAATACCTATGTCCTCAAAGGGCAAATAATAATTCATTTACACAATACTGTATCATTTTGAGCTATGAGGGATCCCTTAAACCATCTAAATTACTGGTAGGTCACAATTCCTCTGATTTTCACTTGTTCTCAAAGAGAGGGATTTTAAAGATTTTTTTTTTTTTTTTCCAATATTTGGCCTCATCCCGGCCCCGGAAGTACATACACTCTTTAAATTATCCCTTTTACCAGATAAGGTTAAAATAGCTTACAATTAAACTTGTACTGAAAGAATAATCTTTTCAAGATTTACACCTTCTTTTCCTACTGGGGCCCACATATATGCCCCAATACCACACCCCTTGTTTTTGCACCACAGAGTCCCATTGGTCCAGTGATCTTTTAAACAGAATTTGGCAATAATATGTTTTCCTGCAAGGTAGCACTCTTTAAAAGACTTAAATTTATTGTGCCGAACCTCTCTGCATTCATCTAAAGTTGAGTTCTCTTTGGCCAAGGATACTCCATATCAATTTTGTCAAAATCTATTCAGTCATTCTGGAATAGTACAAATGAACATTTGACAGATGAACAACAGAGGATCCCGATGAGCCAATAAGGATGTAAAACTTCAAACATGATATCTATACCACCTATGATTGCCTACAGACCAGGGTAGGATCATATAATGACTATACGGGTGTGGTGTAAAGGTAAACAAGGCATCGTAAATGATAAAGATCCCCTTGTCAGTACAACAGTCTGTTAGAGAGAAACCTGTCAACTGTAACTAGATACACATCACTCTAATGTCTCTATCAACATCATTCCCTGATCATGGATTTCACTTTTTTTAAAACTGATATTTCAGTTTTCTTAAGGAGGGTTTAGAAAGTAGCTAAATTGAAAGTAGAGTGTGCCTTTGCCCTTGGTTAAAACACTCTGAAACATGAATTTGTATTCTTATTATTGTTGCTAGAGTGATCACAAATATTTGCTATAGGTTGTAACAGTGACCTTGACCTAGACATCTGAAACAAGGAACGCCTTAGAGACATCTTAAACACAAATCACACACATAATGCGTAAGGCAGCATATACTCTTTACCGTTTGGTACTTACGGGTTAACAAACTAGCAGTTCTGTAGGGGTAAAGAATAAGACTATCCAAAAAACACAGACTCATTGAGGTAAATATTCACATTTATATTACAGAAAACAATTTACATGAACAATATTAGCTCTCAAACCACTTGGAAGTATTGCCAGCTGTGAACTTTTGTTTATATCTGTTGACAAGTTTATCAAAGTCATCTCTTTTCTCTTTGCTTGAATGCTTTTTCTTTTTCAATGGAGGAGCCTGAAAAAGAAAATTACTAGGTTAAAGTGTATACTTCTTTCAAATTGTTCTAAGACTTGTCTGCCAAAACAGCAGGAATTATTTTATTCTAGTAGAGTGTTTTACTGACTGCAAATTGATTTAACTCTTTCACTAGAGACAGCTGTAATCTCTGCCCTCGCCAATCACACACAATCTGCCACTGGCAGCAGCAGATACTGCCTCACCAAGAAATCAAAATTAGATTTCATATCTAAATTTCAGCAGCGTGTTTCAAGTTTAATACACATTGGAGGTCGCAGAAAAACACAAAGTTTATTGTTGTTATATAAAGGAAACTTTACCATCTTTTGGAGATGACTTTATGCAGCACATGTAAATTAGCAACAATTATTTCAGTGACTTGATTCAGTTGCACATCAAGGATAGATTCATTACAGGTTTTACTGACAATTTTAAAGCAAAAGAATTAACCTAGATGAAACTGACCATGAAGAAATATTACATATTTAAATAGATAACAACAATGAATTTGAAATTGCAATGTAAAATTCCATGATTGTTTAGTAGCTCTTCAATTCTCCCGATATAAATCTCATTTACAGTCATTAAAATACTCCATAATAAATTTACTTTACTGATGACAGTTCTTGTATCAGTAAGTGTATTCAAACGGCTTTAATATACCGTATTCTATATAAATAATCATATCATAATCTTAATCATATAAACTACTTACCGAATATTAACCCCCTCTATCCTATCGCATTCCTTTCCTTGACAATAATGTTTGTTATTCAGTATAACTATATTTGAGATTGATGGAACGTTCTGTAATCACTCCAGTTTCCCCAGGCTGATTATTACATCAAATACAGAGTGTCAACATTTTTGTTGCAATAGAGTCTTTATAGGGAGAGGTATAACTTTATAGGGAGAGGTATAACTTTATAGGGAGAGGTATAACTTTATAGGGAGAGGTATAACTTTATAGGGAGGGGTATAACTTTATAGGGAGAGGTATAACTTTATAGGGAGGGGTATAACTTTATAGGGAGAGGTATAACTTTATAGGGAGGGGTATAACTTTATAGGGAGGGGTATAACTTTATAGGGAGGGGTATAACTTTATAGGGAGGGGTATAACTTTATAGGGAGGGGTATAACTTTATAGGGAGAGGTATAACTTTATAGGGAGGGGTATAACTTTATAGGGAGAGGTATAACTTTATAGGGAGGGGTATAACTTTATAGGGAGAGGTATAACTTTATAGGGAGGGGTATAACTTTATAGGGAGAGGTATAACTTTATAGGGAGGGGTATAACTTTATAGGGAGAGGTATAACTTTATAGGGAGGGGTATAACTTTATAGGGAGGGGTATAACTTTTCATTATGATGCCCCAACTTAAAGAAGCCTCTCTATTGCAACAGCATGATTGATATTGAGTTTATATTCAGTCAGTTCTATTGACAGAATATGGAACATATGAGGCCAACGTGTCACATGCCTTTACCAATCATATTAGCAGATTCTGGACAGATACATTCTAATTAACTTTATTCTTTAATCAATTAGGTCTGCTGTCTCTAAAGATTACCATGGGATCTTTCTGTACTTTCTAATTATGACAGGGATATTAAACATCTATTAAACAAATTTGTATCACCAAACAAGAGGCCCATGGGCCTTAACGGTCACCTGAGTCTACAGTATTATTTTTTTTTGTTGAAATATGTACCAATTTGAGTAAAAAATAGTATAATGTTAACTTAACTTTGTCAGGACCATGAGCTGATCATTCCTAGACCAATTTTAAGTGAGATCGGCCTATTAGAATTTAGTAGCAAAATAGCGGCCATGGCAGCCAAATTGTATTTCTGAAAAATAACAACACTTTGTCAGGACCATGAGGCGATCATTCCTACCAACTTTCAGTTCAATCGGTCCAGCAGAACTTGACTTTAAGTTTGAAATAGGTTTTCAAAATGGCGGCCGTGGCGGCCATATTGGATTTCTGATCGACCCGAAAAATAACAACACTTTGTCAGGACCATGAGGCGATCATTCCTACCAACTTTCAGTTCAATCGGTCCAGCAGAACTTGACTTTAAGTTTGAAATAGGTTTTCAAAATGGCGGCCGTGGCGGCCATATTGGATTTCTGATCGACCCGAAAAATAACAACACTTTGTCAGGACCATGAGGCGATCATTCCTACCAACTTTCAGTTCAATCGGCCCAGCAGAACTTGACTTTAAGTTTGAAATGTAAAATGTTAACGGACGACGGACGACGGACGACGGACGACGACGGACGAAAACGGATAGCAATAGGTCACTTGAGCTAAAGCTCAGGTGACCTAAAAAACCCACAATTTTTGGATTTCAATATTTTCATTCACAAACATAGTAAAATAAAAAAAGACAAATTACATATAAAGAGGTTCATCATGCTAGGCTTCATCATTTCCCTACTTCCATCCCTCCAGTTTGCAATCTTCTTCATTGAGCANCCCCCCCCCCCCCCCCCCCAGTAGCAATTGTTTCTCAACATGATTGTCTCCCCCCACACACACATTAACAGCAATTATCTCCCCTTTTACCTGGGCTGAGGGCTCTGCGTGCTGCCGTTTATTGCTAATAGGTTGTGAAATCACTGCCTCTCCACGTTGTTGCTTCTGACGTAGTTTCTTGGCTTTCTTTTTCTGTTTTTTCTCCAACTCAATTTTGGATTGTCGGGGCTTGTGCCGTACCTTGGCTCCCCAATGAGAGGGAAGACCTTTGGGAAGTTTTTTATCCTCACTGCCTTCTTCATGTTCAATTTTACCAATAAATTTATCAGTTAATTTGTCTTTTGATGTAGATGTCTTGTCTTTCTTTGGTCGTCCTTTCGGTTTTTCCTCCTTCACATCAGTGTTGGTCGCAGCAGTCTCTCGCTTCTGTTCCAGCTGTGCTTGTCTAGCCTGCCACACAAAGTGATACTCTATTAGAAACATCAGCTAACTCATTCACAGAGGTTTATTATCACAACCAAATGATCATATCTATTCCTGTATTAGCTGTAAAATATTAACATCTTAAACATGCTAGAACTACTACATACTATTTATAATGGTGTTTTTACCATGTTATACGACAAGGGTGGGGGGGCGTTAAAACATTCTTTATTAGAAACCCCAGTTTATTGACACACAGAGACTTAAAAACATCAGTTAATCAACACACAGAGTGAGAATTTTAGTTTATTTGTGCTTAACGTCCTATAGACAGCTATGGTCAATTATAGATGAGCCTGGTTTTGGTGGTGGAGGAAAACCGGACTACTCAGACAGTGGTGTAGCATACATCTATACTTGTATGCTCAAGCATACACTTAAATTTTCAAGAATTGTTTTAATCATACATTTGATTTTGATTTTTTTTTGATGATTTATATGGACTGTCATTATCAATCATAAAAAGGAAAGAAATTAATTGTCTGATAAGATAGTGTTGGTGTGTTTTGTCTCTACACATTGACACCTTTAAGGTTTATGTAAATCCAAAACAATGAAGTGAAGTACAAAATTAATATTATTATTCATATAAAAAGTTGAGTTTCACTTGTAAATAAGCAGACTAAAATGAGTTCCCAGAACCTGGTAGATTGCTTCTGACTCCCTCTCCCATATCCTCCCCCGCTACGCGCCTTGGGCGCTCGGCCTTCTGTAAGTATAAACTCTGAAAAATGATTTGCTACGCCACTGTTGGACTGTCCCATGTAGGCCTCGAACCTGCAAACCAGTGACCGTAGATGTGTGATGCCTTAAACACTAAGCCACTGTTGCTCCCATTATCACTAAGACTGGGAAACAGTTCACCATCCTTTATATAAATAGCCCTATCATTACTATATAAGTCAAACACTAGGGCCTAATTGTTCAAAGACCAAATCATTAATGCAAATTTTCAAAATGTGATTTTTGGGAAATATCTGAAACTTGACATTCATTTATGTTTCTCTGTATACATACAACTTGGAACCAGACATAAGTTATCTGTAAAGTTGACATTCATTTATGTTTTTCCATATACATACAACTTGGAACCAGACATAAGTTACCTGTAAACTTGACATTCATTTATGTTTCTCCGTATACATACAACTTGGAACCAGACATAAGTTATCTGTAAAGTTGCTGCTAAACTAATTTAGCTTTGAAAACTTGGCCAAACTAAATATGTCCTAAAAGAAGACATTTTATACAGGTTTCCTAATTATGTAGGGTGCAGTTTAGACAATGTACTATATAAGCCCAAATCAATGACGGCAAGACTACTGAATCGCTACCTTGTGTCTCTCCAATTTCTTCTCTTTTGCTTGTAGAGCTGTCTTGTTTTCGAGAGAAAATTCCACAATAAGTCGCTGTAAAATATGAAATAAGAGTGAAAATCAAACTGTACTTCAACAGCATCAAGACATCAACTAGTTTTGTACCAAACAAGAGCTCCTTCAAGATCAATTAGGGGAATTTACGCACATTTCTTAAATGAGTTTGTTTTCAAGAATCTTAAAACTTCTTAAATAATAATAAAAAAATAAAATATTACATTTCCGTTGGAAGTTAAATATTCTGCAATTCATCAGGTGTTTTGAGGTGAATTCTTACCATAACTACATACATATTTTACTATTTCAATGAAAAATTAAGAAAATTTGGCACTTCGAACAAATCTAGAAAATTGATGAAATGTATTGTAAAATTATTTGCCAATAACAGGTTACAGACTTCTGGCCCTAGTGTGGGTCATGTGTGTGAGAAGTATACTGAAGTAACAGTTAAACCAATTTGTTCAGACAGATAGATAAATAGAGGATATTTGATGGTTGCGTCAGTAATAACAAATACATTTCACGAATGTGGCTAATATATTGATATTTTTCACGAGTGCGCAACACGAGTGAAACATATCAAAATAGTAGTCCCACAAGTGATATATATTTGTTATTACTGAAGACACCATTAAATTTTCTATTTATTACTTTTTAAAGCATAAAACAAGAAAAATGTAATGCATGAAAAAAGGGCTGGAATCAGGAGAGTAATAATTAGCGCCATATCCTAATGACGATATGGCGTCACACTTGACAACAAGGCTGTGCGCCATTTTGAATGGGATACTCAACGCAATTCAGACGTTTTCTGCTGTTTTCTGGTATTATTGCTTATAGAAATGTTATCAATTGTATATTTACGTAAATACTTAAGTGTGTGTACCAAACATTTACCATAACAACCACTTATTCTACCGTTGCTTCATTTGAATCTGAACAAAAAATTGTTGCCTTTGAATGCAACGAATAGAAGATACCGTTATGATTGGTCAATATCAAAAAGTTATATTTTCACACTGTGCAAATATCACTTTTGATATTTGTCACACTGTGAAAGATATCAGTTTTATTAAGTTGATAGAATCTGATATTTCACTGGCAAAAATGTAATAAAATGAATTCTTCTCCTTCAGTGTAGTTATGATTAATCAATATGTACGTATACAGTGAAACCCCACTTACTGGAACTCGCATTACTCGAATACCCCCTGTTCCTCGAACAGTTTGATTGGTCCCGACAGTGTTCTTATATACTCTTTGAAAATTAACCTCGGATACTCGAACTGCCATTGCTCAAATACCATGTCTTCCACTAACTGATTTATTCCAAACCACTGAAAACTTTAGTATATAAGCTATCCATTTGTTGAACAGGTAAACGCACCTGTATATCACCTACCACGAGCAATTGACATGCCTCGAGGCACAGACTACGGTCCAAATCTGGGTTTTTATACAGGTGTAGACCGGATGTCTGATAATTAGAGGATTAACAGCAGTAACATTAAGTACCTGTACCATTACCCTGTTGTGTGCATATTGATTATTTCCTTACTATGTTCGTCATCAATGTTTTAGCAGAAGTGTTAATTCACTGGGTGTGAAAACCATATTTTGGCATGGCAATATTAAGCGGAAATCACACAGCAGATTCTCGACTATCTTTAAAGATATTCAAACTTGAATAAGTCGTGATTGTTAATTTTGTTATCAATCAACATTATGATAACAGGGATTACATTTTTTCTTCAATTCAAAATGATTGAAGAGTTCCTTTCGTTTTGATATTTTGAAAAATAAACGTAGCCAAATACAGAATGGAGGGGGCTATGTTTACCTGTACAACAAGTATGTTACATATGTAAATTCTTTATTTTAATTATTTCTTAATTAGATGGCTATATGTTATTATTACAGAGCCATTTTTATCTTCTTCAATGTTGTCATCTTTATCAAACCTCTTTTTACTTATATCATCTACTATCCACTATATTGGCAGTGCTTGTGCTGTCTGCCATCCTACCTGATAAAGAAGAGTACTGCAGGGCAGAACAAATGCCATATAGTGTTATATACTATCTTGCATTAAAATAAGATTTGCATCACCTTAAGAGTGGCAAGCTAGCATGCTATAAATCTCACCTATCACTACAAAGTCAATGTTTGATTTTCTTTAATTTTCTAACAGTTTGAGGAAAACAATTAATCAAAAGATTTGTCTCCAACTCATTAAACACAACTTGATATCATGACTATAAAGCCTACCAAGTTTCAAAGAGACTGGTTGAAAAATGTAGGAGGAGATTGCAGGACAAACAAAAGTTTACGCCGGCCGCCATACCATAATACTCACGTCAAATTTGCTGGGCGTATAAAAATGACAATATCGGTCTAACCTCGAATTTGTTGAATACCATGTATTCCTAGAACTATTGATCTGGTCCCCATGAGTTTGAGTTAGCCAGGTTTTACTCTACATATCAATTCATGTGCATTACATGTTCAGTATATACCCACCCGCTTCTCCTCAAAGAGGTTAGGGTTGTTGTTGGCCTCCCTGAGAGCCTGGAGGGCATGCTTGTGATCGGTGAAGTTGACAAAGCCGTAGCCCCGTGACTTGGCCTTTCCCTGCCCATTCACTCTATCCAGGTCAACCATGATCCGACTCTGTCAGTAAATAAAAAATACTTCATTTACATTACCAGGCCTATGACAGGTGAAAATCTCACAAAACAAATAACGGGACATATTCCAAATAACCTACACTTTTTCCAAGACAGGTCTTGGAAATGCCTTAACAAAATTGATATTTTTGAAAAAGGACAGGTCCTCGACTTAAGGGTTATTAGATATAATGTAACTGATTATCCAGTTTTCACTACATAAATAAAGACAGATGGATGGAGAGTAGTTGAGAAAGTAATGTTTATAATATTTGTATTTTGTATTTGATGAAAAACAGAAAGTATTATTATTTTATTGAGAAAGTAACATTTATTGTATTTGTATATTGCATTTGATGAAAAATAGTAAGTATTATTATGTTACTATCACTATAAAAAGATAAAAGGACGACAAATTCTAGCAAAGCAACGAAGAATATATTCTAGATTATATCAAAATTATTATGTGCATAAACCTCATGTTATATGTTTTCGACCCACCTCATTGATGACAGCCTTATGTGTATAAACCTCATGTTATATGACTTTGACCCACCTGTATAAGTCTCATGTTATATGACTTTGACCCACCTCATTGATGACAGCACTATGTGTATAAATCTAATGTTATATGACTTTGACCCACCTCATTGATAACAGCCTCATGTGTATAAGTCTCATGTTATATGACTTTGACCCACCTCATTGATGACAGCCCTATGTGTATAAATCTCATGTTATATGACTTTGACCCACCTCATTGATAACAGCCTTATGTGTATAAGTCTCATGTTATATGACTTTGACCCACCTCGTTGATGACAGCCTTATGTGTATAAGTCTCATGTTATATGACTTTGACCCACCTCGTTGATGACAGCCTTATGTGTATAAGTCTCATGTTATATGACTTTGACCCACCTCGTTGATGACAGCCTTATGTGTATAAATCTCATGTTATATGACTTTGACCCACCTCGTTGATGACAGCCTTATGTGTATAAACCTCATGTTATATGACTTTGACCCACCTCGTTGATGACAGCCTTATGTGTATAAACCTCATGTTATATGACTTTGACCCACCTCGTTGATGACAGCCTTATGTGTATAAACCTCATGTTATATGACTTTGACCCACCTCGTTGATGACAGCCTTATGTGTATAAACCTCATGTTATATGACTTTGACCCACCTCGTTGATGACAGCCTTATGTGTATAAACCTCATGTTATATGACTTTGACCCACCTCGTTGATGACAGCCTTATGTGTATAAACCTCATGTTATATGACTTTGACCCACCTCGTTGATGACAGCCTTATGTGTATAAACCTCATGTTATATGACTTTGACCCACCTCGTTGATGACAGCCTTATGTGTATAAACCTCATGTTATATGACTTTGACCCACCTCGTTGATGACAGCCTTATGTGTATAAACCTCATGTTATATGACTTTGACCCACCTCGTTGATGACAGCCTTATGTGTATAAACCTCATGTTATATGACTTTGACCCACCTCGTTGATGACAGCCTTATGTGTATAAACCTCATGTTATATGACATTGACCCACCTCGTTGATGACAGCCTTATGTGTATAAACCTCATGTTATATGACTTTGACCCACCTCGTTGATGACAGCCTTATGTGTATAAACCTCATGTTATATGACTTTGACCCACCTCGTTGATGACAGCCTTATGTGTATAAACCTCATGTTATATGACTTTGACCCACCTCGTTGATGACAGCCTTATGTGTATAAACCTCATGTTATATGACTTTGACCCACCTCGTTGATGACAGCCTTATGTGTATAAACCTCATGTTATATGACTTTGACCCACCTCGTTGATGACAGCCTTATGTGTATAAACCTCATGTTATATGACTTTGACCCACCTCGTTGATGACAGCCTTATGTGTATAAACCTCATGTTATATGACTTTGACCCACCTCGTTGATGACAGCCTTATGTGTATAAACCTCATGTTATATGACTTTGACCCACCTCGTTGATGACAGCCTTATGTGTATAAACCTCATGTTATATGACTTTGACCCACCTCGTTGATGACAGCCTTATGTGTATAAACCTCATGTTATATGACTTTGACCCACCTCGTTGATGACAGCCTTATGTGTATAAACCTCATGTTATATGACATTGACCCACCTCGTTGATGACAGCCTTTTTGTCGCCAGCGACCTGGAGGAAGAGTGTTTTGAGTTCCTTGTCTGTGTATTGTAACGGTAGGTTTCTGACACACAAACGAGTTGTCGAGATGAATATACTAGGGCTTTTTAACTTCTCCCTTTTCATGTTTTCCACCTGAAACAAATGCAAACATTTGATCACCATCACATTTCGATTTCAAAAGGTTATATCACTATGAAATTTACAAATTCACATTCAAATATAACCTTAAATATTATATCTTTAAATTATAAGTTTGTCCTAAGGAAGGAAAAGTAAAGAAAGAGACAAAATAACCGTTTTTTATAATTATAGCGTTTCACAGCTAACTGATATTGAAACTAGTTCCATCTGATCATATTATACCTTTATTCGTTTCTGTAGATCTTCTTTGGACAAACCCTCAGCTGCCTGTGTACCAGGTCGAATCACTACAAAATATACAAAGTGCATTAGTATACATGAATGTGAGATACATCAAAGAAAACTAAGATTTTATCAATTTTACAGGATATTTATCAAGGAAACATACAAACTTTTAACTGAAACATTTATACATACAACACAAATAAAAAAAATGTTTTCATTCAAAGAGAACTTCAGTTAAATAGTTGTTTACATTTGCATGCATCACTTGAGCAAATATTACCTATGATCAATATGTATCCATACCTAAATTGTTTTCAAACTTTAGACTATGACAATCAGGTTACCATAATTAAACTAAAATAGAAACACAGAGAAAAGTGTTGATCTATGGGACAAATTTATGAAAACAATAAAACGTATCGTTCACATACTGCCTTCTCTTGCTAAATGCAAATTTCTCTTATCCTCTTCTTTTTTCTTCTCCGCCTGTTTGAATTCCTTTGCCTTGTCACGACTCACAGCCAAGGCAATAAAAAGCTTCCTCCCTTCCACGGTAATACCCCCATCCTACAACCATTAACATTCAGGTACAATAATACACAGCAGACACCATACAACAGTTTAAATAAAACTATGACATGAGGCCCATGTGGCCTGTGTTGCTCACTTATTTCTCATATATTTCCTGAACTAGACATGCAGATGAAAATATTTAAGACCACAGCGGCTATCCTGGAATCTTACTGAGCCAAATAATATCAACCCAAAACCAAAATATCTCTTAATATCCAGAACTACAGGAGGATTATTCAAACCAAAGGTAGAATTAGTCAGGTGGAACTAAAATTTACTAGAAAACATCACAGCCAAACATAGGCTGGGTGGCCATCTTTGATTTTGATATGATCCCATTTAATAGGCAACTGGGTCCATGCACCTGATGTGGCCATCATATTTCTAACATATCCTAAAAATTCAATAACAATGCTTGCTAAGGGAAATGACAAGAGCATGGACCATGCACATCATTTACGCACAACTATACAGACTTCTTGGCGAAAGGATGTTCCACACCTACTTGTCGAAATCCCCTGGGCCATTCTGAACTAGTTGTTTTTCAAAAAGTTTTTCAAGTCAGACAGAAAATATGAAAAAGTCATACAATGGTTAAAACCAGTTTACAATAATACAGTTATTCATTTAAACCTTTCAACGACCGATTCCCTCACAAAATCAACTTCAAGACGACAGCTTCCCTGACAGACTTTTTAAAATATTCATATTTATAGAATGTAAAACTTAAAAATGTATTATACTAACTAGGTAATTTTATTTTAATATTTTACAATGATCATCAGTTATCCAACTTATATCAGTGTATTGTAAAGACATTGTATTATACTGGGGTTTATTTATAACAGAAATTCAGCCCCCCCCAAAATCCCTGTTTACAGGGATTCGTTGTCAAGAGGAAGCCTTTTGTATCCCTGTTTACAGGGATTTAACAGTAAAAGGGTTAAGCCACAGTATAATGAACAAATCCTTGGCAGACATCAGTAGCATTGTCCATTGAACTGTTACCTACTTCCCAGCCTATCACATGACACTAGTTGAACAAAACTCACCCTAGATTCATCATTAGCTTTCTCCATACACTTTTTGGCTGCCTCAACAGTCTTGAATTGCACAAATGCCATACCTGTTAAGTGGGAAGGAAATACAAAAAAAATAACACAAAGTGTGACATTATCCCCGCGCCCCCTGTTTAAAAGAAAGACACAGTCATATATATATATATATGTTAATATTACAATAACAGGTATTAACTCCATTCCACCACTGTTACTGATATTTTGATGTAGACAATCTTTTACAAAACATTGACTTCCCAATCACAAAAGGCTTGATAAGAGCACTAGCTTCGCAAGTGTACAAAACTTTCTGTATACATCTTGAATGCAAACGGCTCCAATAGAGTGCTAGGTTGATAAGTGTACAAGTAAAATTTCAATTTGTTATTTTTAATAGTTTTGAGATCATGCTTCAGAAACCTCAAATTTCGTATTTTTGCCTTTTTCCATGGCAACAGAAAAAAGAAAATGAGAACTCCTCTAGTAGCAAAACGCACCAAGAGAGTGCTAGTTTGTACAAAGTGTACAAAGTTTCAGGCAGTTCTTGAACAATTTTGTTGCCATGCTCTGGAAACCGTGAAATTTGTTATTTTGCCTAACTAAAGTGATAGGATGATAAGTGGACTAAGTTTCAGGTACATGTAGCTATCTAAAAGCCTACCTCTGGAGTGCTCTGTATGTGGGTCCATCACCAGTCGACAGTAATTAATTGGTCCAAATTCCTCGAGCTCCTCTACTAGCGTTTCCTCAACTGTTTCAAATGTGACGTTTCTGTTGACAAAAAATGTACATTACAAGAAATGGTAAACTATGATAAGTAAGATACTGACACTGTGTATGGTTGGGAGTTTTAAGCCTCCACAACCTTGAGTCATAATCAATATCACCAAAGAATTCAGACAAGAACTTTTTTCTGTCTCTATGGCCATATATAAAGAACAAAGAACTTATATTAACTACCCTGGTGTATTTGCTGCAATCTGACTGAAAACATCAAAAATTACTTCTTAACATACCACTTCCTCTTTGTATAGCTGGGCAGACTAGAACATTTTGTGTAACATTTATTTTTTAAATCCTGGCCAATATAAGCACAAAAATATATTACAGTACAAATTAAATAGCTCCAGCTCAGGCAAAATGACAATTGTTTGTACATAGGTTGTACATCACTTTAGTATAAATTTGAACTACAACATCCTCGATATCCAGGGGTTACGCTCACTTTCATTCTCTTCACCCCTGGAATATGTCATAGCAAAATCGAAGGCTCAGTGTGCACCGCCTTGTGGAAGAGACAAGAAGAATAGTTTGATCCTTTGATTTACATCAAAAGATGTAACGGTAAAACTTATTGGCTTTGAAGTCGGGCCTCGCTCCTCTGTAATCTTCAAAGAACAAGTATCAACCTAGTGATTGGTCAGGTTTTTTTCCCTGACACCAATCAAATAGCTTCCTGTGTGTCTTCAATTTTGCTATGACATAGTCCAGGGGTGCAGAGAGCGAAAGTAAGCGTAACCCTTGGATATCAAGGATGGATTTACAAATGTTAGCCACAAGCTAAATAATAACCCTCGCTCCTTCTGGAGAAATATATTGGTAATAATGTTCCTAGATTGAAGCTGACCTAACAAAGTGACATGTTCACCTGATGTCTCAAAGCATCAGTTAAAAAGTGAAACACTTATGACAATAACAAATCATAACTAGAAAATGTCTGTAAGACATACCCCCGCTACCATGTGACATTAGTTTCAGTGTTCTATAAAAAGTAACAACCACTTTAATCTTGATACCCTGAAACATGCACACACACAAGGTTCTACACTTAAAGTTGATTTTAATATTCATGTTTTTTCTGTATGTTATTACCATCTCCATAACATATTGAATGCAGTTGCTAAGTGTTTAAATTGAATCAGTTGATGATTTTCTATATATAGCAAGTGTGAACTTGGCCTTGACCTTGGATCTCTGAAATACAATGATGTCCGAAGTATACTCATACTTGACCTTTGTATAAAGTTTGACCAAAATTTGTCAAAGAATGAAGTTGCTAAGTGTTTACATTGAATTGGGACGGGACGGGATGGGACGCGACGGGACAGACATGGGTAACACTATATGCCCCCCCCCCCATTTTATGGCAGGGGCATAATAAACAAGACAGGGTAAACATATACAATATGATGTTGTTGTGTGGCTTAATCATACGAATTTTATGGAAACAGCGTACCTGATAAATAGGGTCCTTCCTTCCTCTACATCATTTTTCCGTTGAATCCCCCCCTTTTTCTCTGTAAGAATACAAACAAATTTTAAATCATCATGACAATAAATTTCTTTAAACGGTTTTGTGCTTCTACATTACATCTACTGTGAAAGCATTTAAATTTCACATCCTGTGGCATTCTTACCTGGGTATATCATTTACAATATATATATAGGGCACATCTTTGAGAAAGATGGAAATTATGCATTCAATGCTATATTGATGTAACATGAATTTACTGAAATATGATTATAAACTAAAAATGAAGTCTGTTCAGGGGGATTCCAATCTGACAATAAATCTTTGCAACGAACTTGAAACTTTTAAATATCAAATTTGAACAAAAAACGTACTGTTTTTCTTTTTTCTGTTTTCCTGGATGGAATCGTCATCCATTTCTTCCTCATCACTTGAATCATCTTCATCTTTGTCATCTTCATCAGCAAATCCTTCATCATCTGACTCTGATTCCGACTCATCTTCCTCCTCCTTGTCTTCTGAATCTACCACAAATAACATTTATTTCCAAACTAAATGTACATTTAATAAGAACTGAGAATGTACCTTCATGTCAAAATTAGAATTTGCTCAGTTTTATGCATATAGAGTATAAACAAATTTGAAATCCACACAAAATTATTTAATTTATTGTGTAATACTCATCAGTAATTATATTACCTTCTTCCTCTTCCATGTTATCGCTCCCCTCATTTTCTGTACTAAATGACCCCTCGTCAGACAATGTATCCTGTTCGTCATCATCATTGATGACAGATTCCTTTTTGATCTGGGGTTTGCGATCCAGTGTTCTTGACGCTGTCTGGGATTTGCTAACCTGTGTTCTGGGCTCTGCCTCCCCTTTACTGGTTTGAGATGCAACAAACTTGTCCTTAGGCAAAGTCCAGTCTACAGCTACTGGTCGCCCTGTGAGGCAAGATAATAAAAACAACTAGATATTACAAAGTTGAACTCGCACCATAGCCGTGTGTGTAGAGAATGCAAGCTGTAATACTATCCCATTCCCATATCAAATATGATAAACACACTGCAAGTATTAAAAAGTGGGCTATCTTATATTTTCCATTTGTACATGATACGATTCTTGTAAAATATTCTCCAATTGAATTGTCCTATTTCATTTAAAGGACAATATTCTTTTCTATTTTCTTTTCCATTTCAAATTTACCATATTAAATTGCGTACACAAACATATTTTCCAAAGCAAGGTATGCAATAAGTTTATACAAGATTTTGGTTTAAGGTTTTGTGCCTTTTGTACATTTTATACCTTTTTGTATGTAATAAAAAGTTAAATTAAAAATATTTAATTACCCTTTTTAATATTCTTTTGCTATGTCAGAATTTGGACATTTTTCACGCCTCTGCATGGACCATTTATAATGGCATTAAAAATAATTAACACACTAAAGCTGCTGTCAGAACACTAACTCATTCACCCCTAAATTTATACATTGGACTTGCCCAGTCTTTGATTTGGTAAGGTTCAGATGTGACTTTAGGGGTGAATGGGATGACATGCTATAAATATGACTTACCCAGTATAGGTTTCATGTTCATTCCTTTGACTGCCCGGTCGGCATCTTCTATTTGCTCAAACTGTACAAATCCAAACCCAAGCATCTTTCCATCTGAAAAAAATAAGTTTCTATAGGAAGTGCAGCAAGGTCACATGTCAGAGCTTTAATAGGAATTAGTGTCAATAGGTTTTACGATTATGTCAGATACCTTAAAATCAGGAAAACACCGTTCTCTTTTAGTATGGAATCCATTGCTAACTTGTGGGTACATCATACATTTTAGATGGAAGTCTAATCCAGCTAAAACTTACTCCTACAATACTTTTGGCAGGCAAAAAAATCAAAGTCTCAATGTTTGTAGCCAAAATGTAAAAACAAATTGACAAACCCACCTGTAGAAGCAATGTTACCAATAGCTATTAACTTACATGTAATGTATGAGATTTAGTGCATTCCCTTTTCCATATACATTTTTCAACAGTTTTCGATGAGGTTTTGTTTAACTATGAAATAAAAGCGACAAGTTTGATTTTCCCAGTCATTTCTTAAGCCATACAGTAATGGAACAGTGTAATAAGACTTGTACATGAAAGTTTCTTTTTTTGTTTTGAAATTATTTAGCAATATTACCTGGTTTTAATGGAATCTTGACTTCTGTGACCTCACCAAACTTTGCAAAATATTCATGCAATTTGTCCTCTGTGCACTGGAAGAAACGTTATGACATGTATAAGAATAACTTCTTACTTTTTATTAAAAGTTGTTTTTTTTGGAAATTGCCCAAAACACATAAATTAATTTTGTGTCTTTTAGCATTACCAGAAATATTTATAATTTATGATTTGGTCAAATACCTATTTAATTTAATAGAACACAAAATTGAAACTATGGCACAATAGCCCATTTCATTTATCTGTGTTTATGTGATTAATCCTTTCACCACTGTAGACCATAATAGACTCATCCAGATCAATGCATGGTAGAGTCTACTAAAGTAACATAGGGGTGAAAGGGTTAATCAATAACTAACTGGACTAAATGATGAAAATACCCATTTGCAATTTTATATCTGTACAGGTACAAAAATTCATTAGTTACACATGTATGTGATCATACAAAGGTGCAGTGTCATAATTTGATGAACGTTGTTGGAGTGTATGTTGTTTTGCTTGCTCAGGGTTTTAACGTCCTCGCAAAAGCCAGGGTCATATGAGGACAGGTAACTAGGGAAACACAACAGCCAGGGTCATATGAGGACAGGTAACTACGGAAACACAACAGCCAGGGTCATATAAGGACAGGTTACTAGGGAAACACAACAGCCAGGGTATGTTGTTTTGCTTGCTCAGGGTTTTAACGTCCTCGCAAAAGCAACGGTCACATGAGGACAGGTAACTAGGGAACCCCAACAGCCAGGGTCATATGAGGACAAGTAACTAGGGAGACACAAGAGCCAGGGTCATATGAGGACAGGTTACTAGGGAGTCACAACAGCCAGGGTCATATGAGGACAGATAACTAGGGATACACAACAGACAGGGTCATATGAGGACAAGTAACTAGGGAGACACAAGAGCCAGGGTCATATGAGGACAGGTTACTAGGGAAACCCAACAGCCAGGGTCATATGAGGACAAGTAACTAGGGAGACACAAGAGCCAGGGTCATATGAGGACAGGTAAAAAGGGGAAAAACAACAGCCAGGGTCATATGAGGACAAGTAACTAGGGAGACACAAGAGCCAGGGTCATATGAGGACAGGTTACTAGGGAGTCACAACAGCCAGGGTCATATGAGGATGGGTCACAAGGGAGACACAACAGCCAGGGTCATTTGAGGACAGCTAACTAGGGAAACACAACAGCCAGGATCATATTAGGACGTACAGGTACAAAAATTCATTAGTTACACATGTATGTGATCATACAAAGGTGCAGTGTCATAATTTGATGAACGTTGTTGGAGTGTATGTTGTTTTGCTTGCTCAGGGTTTTAACGTCCTCGCAAAAGCCAGGGTCATATTAGGACAGGTAACTAGGGAAACACACCAGCCAGGGTCATATGAGGACAGGTTACTAGGGAGACACAACAGACAGGGTCATATGAGGACAGGTAACTACGGAAACACAACAGCCAGGGTCATATAAGGACGGGTAACTAGGGAGACACAATAGCCAGGGTCATATGAGGACAGGTGACTAGGGAGACACAACAGCCAGGGTCATTTGAGGACAGCTAACTAGGGAAACACAACAGCCAGGGGCATATGAGGACAGGTTACTAGGGAAACACAACAGCCAGGGTATGTTGTTTTGCTTGCTCAGGGTTTTAACGTCCTCGCAAAAGCCAGGGTCATATTAGGACAGGTAACTAGGGAAACACACCAGCCAGGGTCATATGAGGACAGGTTACTAGGGAGACACAACAGCCAGGGTCATATGAGGGCAGGTTACTAGGGAAACACAACAGCCAGGATCATATTAGGACGTACAGGTACAAAAATTCATTAGTTACACATGTATGTGATTATACAAAGGTGCAGTGTCATAATTTGATGAACGTTGTTGGAGTGTATGTTGTTTTGCTTGCTCAGGGTTTTAACGTCCTCGCAAAAGCCAGGGTCATAGGAGGACAGGTAACTAGGGAAACACAACAGCCAGGGTCATATGAGGATGGGTAACAAGGGAGACACAACAGCCAGGGTCATATGAGGACGGGTAACTAGGGAGACACAACAGCCAGGGTCATATGAGGACAGGTGGGATGTATGTAACTGGGATTGAATAATATTAATAATCAAAAATGTCTACTTATAGCTGTTCTCATTAATGCTAAAGAACTTGCACTTACTTTAAAGGACAAGTTTCTGACAATGAGTCGGCACTGTTTCAATGCTCTCTGAGAAACTACATTGAAGGAATCCTTCTGACACCTCACAGTCAACATGTTACCTGTGTAAGAAAAAACGTAAGCCATTAAAAACCTACACAAGTTTATGTATTTGAATCTCATTAGATCACATTCTTGCACTTTGAAAGCAATTTTTACATTTTTTATCCTTTTTTTTATTCCAATATTGGTCATACTCTAACCACAGAACTGTCTAAATAGAATATGTTTTGTGAAGAATTTTGGAATGAATGTGCAGAAGCAAACAGATCACACAAGCTGAGATTTTGTCAGAAAATAATTCAATCAGACTAAAATAAAATATTTAAGATTTTCTGAATCAAAGTGGGATTTACTTCTTCAACTAACACCACCTTTCCACCTTACCCCAACTTCTCCCAGGTGATTTGTTCTATTCCCCCTTCCCCTTCCAAAGTGATTTGTCCAAATTGTTCATACCTTTGCACCTCCCTCTCTGAAGTGATTTGCTCAAGTTGGTCAAGTAACTACATGCAATACCATTTTTTTGTTTAAGGATCCCTGTCCCACACTATTGTTGCTTTTCCTGAATACAGTTACCTCCCCTTAACTTCAGTTTGGCTATAACTGTAGCAGTTTGACAGGTGGGCCAGGATACCTCAGTTGACCAGATAACTCAATCTGTTAAAGCGATAGTATAACAATGGGAAGTCCAGGGTTCGTATACTAGTTTGGCCCCACCGAAATTTGACACTCGGAACAATGCTGTAGATTATATTTTGTTTATTGTTTTTTTTATTATTTCTCATAAAAGGTATGGTTTTCTTTTCAGAAATGATTTAACAAAGCTATTGTCATGCCAGAAAAAATAGTTTCCAATGTTCAGTTACAGTTTTGGGCAGTGGAACGGGGATCCTTAACCAAACCCCTGTATTGTCTCTTCTTGTAGTGACATACTGTTCTGTGAATCAGTTCATTTTTGTGAATACCATAAAAACCCGTATAATTTACACACCTATGTAATTCACGCATGTACTTTTTTGGGCTGAAAATACTGAAAAAAGCTTCTACTCATATATTTTGTGCAACGATTTTCTCTCTCTCAAAAATGATGTCCAAAATGCCCAGAAATTGACTTCCAACACGAAACTTTGAAACAAATATCTACTTTCTCATATGTTTGCATATTTAATTACTTAAGATCTTTATGCAGATGCGTATCAATGTTTGTTTTCTTTGAAGTACACTGTAACATCAGACTGAACATGTGCACGCACCAACCCAACTTACATAAACATTCATCGTCTTACACAAACCTTCACAAGTTATTATATATAATATGTAGTGTAGTAATCATACTGATTTTCATGTAAGTTTGTTTGAAACACTACACTTTGTGAAACTTAATGAAGAGGTATCGAGATGCTGTTTATCTTACACACTAATTAACATTAGTTACACGATACTGAACAGTAATACCTTTGCCTGGTTTACTCTCAAGTTTCCGCTGCCCCGCGTTCGTGTCTCGGATAGATTTAAACCTCATCATGGCAGTAGCCTGTTCACAGTTTCTCATAGGAAACTCCAACTTGCCAATGTTTTTGACATTGCTGTTAACAACAGATGGGCAAGAGAAGAAAATGTATGATGAACTGACAAGTAATAGAAATGTTGAAACAGAATGATAACATTGATATTCAAAAGATTCTTAACAATTGACATTTATTATATAATTAAGCCATGTATAATTTGGAAAATCGAAACTTGTAATTTCATTTAATATGGACAGAAATTTGGAATCACAACATTTTAATTAAGATTGTTTTTTAGAAGACTTCCGACTAAGTTGATCAGATCTAAAGTAAATATTGCAAGTCTTCTTCGTTTAACACCAGGATTTTGTTTTTACAGATAGAAGATACAGCCACAAACTATTTTGTGAGAACAACCTGGATATGGTTTTATTTTTCTGTTAATATCAAAGTGTGATGTTTGTTGATCACGCTATTAAACTCACTTTTTTGTTATGTATTTCTGAACATCCTCTAGTGATGTGCCATCTTTCCAGCCAGAAACCAGTAGTGTTTTAGACCACAGATACTTCATCTGCTGCTTGTCAACCTCGCTTGGTTTTCCTAATTACAACAATGACAACAGTAATGAAAGATATGTCAAGGTTTAAACAAATATTTTGTTAACAAGATTCTAATTTTATAACCCATATACATAAACATAAAACAGGATTTATTCCATGTTATGAAGTACCTGATCATAATATTTTGCTACATATTGCATACTACATTTTTTCTAAATTGTTGTTTTAATGCTGAACTGAACATGTGTCTTTATTGTAAGCACAAATATCTGTTTATAAAATTCCACATTCATCAATGTCACCTTAAAGGCAATCCAGGTCTTAACTTTCATATGTGATTTATCTGGAAAACTGCATTTCTGAATCTGCTCACCTTCTTTGTCTTTCTCCTCACGGTCACTCTCCTCATCATCAGAGCTTTTTTCTTCTTCAGCTTCCTCTTTAACCTCCTTTTTAACAGGCGGAACTTTCCTGTCCGTACCCATTCGCATTCTGTTTTCCTTTTTTCTCTCGGCGAATGTTATCATGATCTTCCGCCCGTCTAAAGATTTGACTGAGTCTTTGGCCTTTTCTGCATCCTCCCTATCAATCGAAACATACAATATTGATACAAAGCTCAACCAGAATAGTTGCAATTTACTTCCAAGAGGTTCTACAATGAATGACTGTTGTTTATCATGTTTATAAAAATTGAACTTCAGTTTGTTAATGAAAAACAGTCATCAGTGATTTTGTTTTCTTAATTTAAAATTTAACAAAGTTTGATAAACATTTCAAACAATGCTTGCCAATAGTAAACTTCTTTCACAGTTTTTATGACAGCATTGTTCCATAATTCAACATTTCAATAATAAAATTGAAGAAAGGTGTTAATAAACACTTGCATTTAACAACACCTCTGTTGTTTAATGCATGGCATGGGAATTGGTAAATGGGGAATTGCAAAAGAAATATATATCATATGGCATTGGCAATGAATATATTTTATATAGATTTAAGATCAATGGATTGAACACAGCCACTGGGTTAGCAATGTGTTCAACTCCTAGAGACAGCACTTGGAAAAACGCCCTTGCTTGGATTTTCCTAGTCAAAAACATTACTCGTGATTAAAAAAAAGGTTTTCCAGTGCATTTTTTGAATAGTATGATTTTAACAGTTTTTTTTAACTCCTGATGGTTTTAGTTATAATATTTATCTATCTCCTTAATTTTGGATATATAAGTTTGTAAACCTCATGTCTTTGAAACTTAACAACCTGAGTGTGATAAACATTCACTTTATAACTTGTCCAATATGTAATTCATTTCCATGGGTATATATTTTCTCAATTTAATCTTGTCAAATTTTACAATTTAAATATTACCAATAAAAATCAACATAAATTTATTACATTACTAACTATCTTAGTGATTTATAGTGTATTAATTTGACAATTTTCACTATAAATTCTGGTCAACTTACAACATGGAATATGCCACATAGCCAAAACCTCTGCATTTTTCTGCACCTGCAATATTAAAATAACACTAAGCTTATTTTTAGCACATGTAAAATTGAAATAATGGTTACCCTATTTTTATAATTGTTTTATCTATATTTCATTTGTAAGGATATAACTCTTCTCATTGATAAAATACACATATTTGAAATCAACACTTTTACAATCTATATTATAATCTGAGCCGATTATAATAAAAAAATGCTCATTGATCATGATTACACACAAAAAACTTACATAAATTGTGTATAATTGATTAACTACTGACTATTATAAACGTCCTCCCACTCTGCATATTTTCACTCGATTGGTCACAGTTGTATATTGCTATTCCCCGAGAACATTTCACGATGTGTGGTAATTTTCCGTATGATCTGCTTTGATTTTTACATGTGACGTATCTCCATACACATGATACTTACGAGTAACTAAAGTTAAAATGAAGAAATTAATGTTGATAAAGACATAACATGGAAAATTAATATGCAAAAACCATGTGAGTGCATTATTTTAATACAATCTTAACTCCACATATTACACCGTTTTATCAGGTTGGGCACAAAAGCGCAGATGGGTAATAATCCTGTATTCAGGTAACAGTTACTCATTTCAGTAATATTTTTATTACTGAAATGGGTAATAAAGTGAAATAAAAACACACAAATTTCTTTAACACATTATGAACAAAAAAGGGCGCCATTCTTTCAACATAATTAAATAAAAAATACAATGACATACAATTGTGTACAAAAATATGTAAATTCAGTTGTCTAAATTTTTGTGAAAATGACAAATTGTATCACCTCCATTGCTTATAGTGTGTTGTAAAGTAGCTATAAAAAGCACACATAAAAAATCATGCTCACCTGTCACATTTGCACTGGATAGTCCCATTGACTACACACTGAAGTCAATGGAGAACAAAGTCAGTGATATGGTTTGTCCTTTTCACAAAATGTTAGACATCAGAATTGATAATTTTTTGTGCACAGATGTACTTCATTGTGTTATTTATTTGACAGAATGACGCCCTTTTTCGCTCTAAGTGTTTAAAAGAACTTTCTGTGTTTTTACTTCACTTTATTCCCCATTTTAGTAATAAAATTGTTACTAAAATGGGTAACTGTTACCTAAATGCAGGATTATTACCCATATCGATATGATGTTGGCCAAAACGGCCCTGCTGAAGACATCTGCAAAGCGAATCAGCACGATCAGTTCAAATACCTTTTGGTTTTACGACAAAGCAGGTCTTCAGAGGTCCTATGTCACCGAAGATCTCTTCCAATTTTTCATTTGTGGTCGAATATGGCAGATTTCTTAAAAACAACGTTTTGCTTTTTCGCACATGTGTTGCCTCGTCCGCCATGTTGAAATAAACCGGAAATGGAACTGTGCATCTAATGTCTAAAGTGTTAACCGGAAAACATGAATCATGTGGTAAATGAAGAAAATGCTCATATTTTCGTTTTGTTTTTGCTCCCCAAATTCATATCCAACTGAAGTTTGAACAGTCTAAGATACTTCCCATAGAAACATAGAAATGGCATTTCCCACATATTGAATGATTTTTTTAGATAAAAAATTTTTTCCGCCAAATGGCCATAAAGCCCCCCCCCCCCAAAAAAACCCACCCGCTTCTAGTACATTCAGAGACGTATATATTACGTAATATATACGTCTCTGGTACATTTAATCAATTAGAACAGATAAAATATGCATAGTGTCTCTTAAGAAAGATGGAAACCTTATTACTGACACCATCAATTTCAATCCGTCTTTACCACGCCTGAAACTGATGAACCAATCCCAGATAAAGGAGAACGAGAGTCAGACATCACCCTCCAATAGAAAAAGCTTACAATCACTACACTAGGCATTAATAAACTTCTAAACATCATCAACCCCACAAAACCACAGGTCCAGACATTATCAGTGGACACATCTTAAAATAACCAAAGGAAAACATAGCACCAATCTTTGATCAAATATTTACTAAATCCCTAATTACTGGGCAAACTCATCTCGACTGGAAACATGCAAATATTGAAAAAAAGGCGACAAACACAAAGCAGTTAAGAGACCTATCTCCCTAACTTGCAAGTTAGTAGCTTATTATCATTAAACATTTCATAATCAATCTGGAAAAAAAACCATCTTGTGTATACCCGCCCTGCAGCATGGCTATCGTCACTCTCGTTCACGAAAAACACTTCTTTCGTCCAGAAACAAATAACAATAACATTCAAACAAACCTCATAATCATGAACTTTGCAACACCAGCGTTTTATATAAACTACGGCATTAACGGTAAAACTGGATGTATGCATTTCTCTCAAACCGGAGGCCTATACAGACAGTTGTCTTCCCGGTCACGTCAGGTGTACCGCAAGGTACAGTGCTTGGTCTGGTCTGGTCTTGTTCTTGGTTTACATAAATGATCTCCCGGACTGTTTATTATAAAGCAAACTCAGACTTTTTACTGATGATAGTATCATCTACCGTCCAGTCAGAACTCAAAGTGTTATCTTTGTCACTTCCAAAAAGAAACATATACAACACAGATACATCCTCCATAACCACACACTTGAATCTGTTCCTTCCGCAAAATATCTGTCTTACCATCTATACAGTCGAAATCACACATCATCGTGTTGCCATTCCATCACACACCATTCTCATACTAACCGACACACGGACACAAAAACTTTCATCCGCTCACATTTAGGCACATATTTACACTCCAGCTGTTCTCTTTACTCTTGTCTGAACCCTCCAACAGGTATATTAATCCTAAATGTTCTCATGTTAAAGCAAACATCTGTTAGCATAAAGATTGTTTTGGCTTAATAGCCAGAATTTGACATAGACCGGGCCTACAATTAAGATGCTGTATAAAAGCCTTTATCACTTTGAAAGTTAGTAATATGTTGCAATGAAAAACACATTCCTCTGACCTTGTCAGAAGTCATTACCAATACTGGAAGTCCTCAAGGTTGAGTCATTGGTCCTGTGTTATTGTTAATTCGTACTTAGCTTTAGCGTTTGCACATTATTATTATAGATACATTACCAAGATTAATCAAAGTTGATTTTTTAAGCGACAATATATGGTGTAGACGGACCACAAAGTAGCAATATTTTCAACGAGGATAAAGTTTGAAACCTTTAAACTTATCGATTTAAATTTATGGAATTGAGTTTAAAATGTCTCAAGTCCATCGGAGTACAATGCTGCCATTTAGGAGTTCGGACTAATCCAAAATAAAAGCAATCTTCCACATGTTGTCTTTGTAAATTAAACTCTGCCGAAGTTAAGGTGGCTCCACACATCGTCATCAGCGTCCATTTTCGTGACGTACTTCCGGAAAAAGTACAGCTCGGACTCAATTATCTTGATCGAAATGTGCATGTATACACCGGGTCGTCATTTCCGTATTGCGTATCGGGCATTCAATATCGTAGTGCAAATTATAGTAACACCTGGGCCGTTTTCGTTTAAACGGTCAAACCGATCGGAAAACTGTTGTTCGTTTGTTAAATAAGGTCGGACCTAGTAATCTGGTGCTGCTTTCAGGCGAGCCTTGAGAAAGCCTTACTGCAAGGCCTGCATACACATTTGCAGGTCCGCCAGGATTTATACCCGAAATTGTTACATTTATAAACGGCCAAACCGGTTGTTCCGCATAAACGAACAGGCCAGTAAACAATAGTACACGTGTGTGCCGATGATCGAGATTTTACCGGGAAATGTATAATCACACGTACTTCAGGAATAAAGCTTTCCAATTCATATACATAAACAGACTCACGGGAAGACAGTGACATGAGACCAGACGACCTCAAGAAGGTGATATAGGAAACACATGGAATGCGAACGTACCGACCTCACATGTGCATTTCACGTGCTTACACGAGTTCATAAGCTCGAGGTCGTTATCNACGACTTCTTCTGAAGAACTGGTAGTTATAAAATCTTAATATTTGGCAGGTGGCTTCCTGGGAAAGAGCCAAACAAAGTTTGCGAATGAAAATGACCTTGACCTACTTTCAAGGTCACAGCGTTCAAATATGTCAAACAGTTCAAACAGCTTCTTCTGAAGAATTAAAAGGCATAAAATTATAATATTTGGCTGGTGACTTCCCGGGATAGAGCTCACCAAAGTTTGCAAATGAAAATGACCTCAACCTACTTTAGAGGTCACAGAGGTCAACAACATTTTAATGGATTTGTTCTTGAGAACTAAAAGGAATGGATTCATAAGATTTGGCTGGTAGCTTTTTGGAATAGAGCTAACCAATTTGAGAAGGAAAATGACATTGACCTACTTACAAGATCACAGGGAAAAATATGTCAGCAACTTCTGAAGAAGAATCAAAAAGCATAGAATCTTATAATAATACTTTGCTGGTAGTTTCAACAGATGGAGCCAACAAAGTTTGCGAGGGAAATATTTTTAGTGCAATATAACATTTAATGAGAATATTTTGTTATGACTGCTTAAATATTCAGGTGAGCTATACAGTCCCTCTTGGGCCTCTTGTTTTTTCAAGGAAGATAACTCTCACCCGGATCAAAGTGATTGTAAAATGCAAAATTAATTAATTATAAAGCCATTGTGTATATTTTGTTCAATTTCCCATTCTATATGTATAGATCTTTCTTTGTGTCCTGTTTGCTTTTAGCTTGTATAGATAATCACTTTTATCCGTACAAATTCAATAAAAAACACTTTGTGTAACATGTGTTACATATTTTGCGATAAATAAAATAATTGTAGGGTTAATTAGAAATGCTTCTTTTCATTTTATTATTGTTGTTATTGTTCCGAACAATGCCACACACAAACAAACAAAACCGGAAAATATTGAAATTGACGAAAATTATTTTTTTTGGTATTTTTTCCAAAAATGTCCCCAAACTATCGGAATGTTTAGATTTTCATAAAATCAACTCTACATAGTTGCATAGCCATTATATGAAAGTTTCAACGAATTTTGCTGGTTAATTGCGAAAGTGTGGAGCCACCTTAAGAAATAGGAAAAATAGCATTACGTACTCAGTAAGTGTCACGAGATGATCATTTGTGTACAATTTCAGTGTCAAAATCCGCCGGAAAGAAGTCGACCGAGTGTTGGTCAAATCAGCCATCGTTGTTTTCAAATCAACCTTGTCCGAACATTTTTCACCAAATCTGGTCAAACACCCAGTTATTAAAACTGGAAACGAAAACAAAAAGATTTAAGTGACAGGGAGGTTCCATACCAAACTAGGTCAAATCTGTTTTAAAGGCAGCCTTCATGAATTTTGGGAGTGACGTTTACTTTCTGAAATTTCGTATGTGGGTTCCTCATGGTCTTCAGACGTGTTCATTACATTATTGAGAGTCGAAGTTTGTTAGCGCTATTTATCTGAAAGATTAGAGATGCCAATTTTCACATGTACGTTCCTCATGGCCCCTATAGTGTTTTTTTTTTTTTTTTGGACTGATCGAAAGTTCAAGATGACCGACAGCTATAGGCATATAGGCAGCCAATAATTGGCAGACGATGATTACGTTATTTCGCTGAAAAGTAACGAAATGGCGCATACCATCCACCATAAGTTTGCGCTGATAACGTGGTACTGAAATCGTGATAACGGATGGTCTGCATCCTCGATTTTCCAGGGGTTACGCTCACTTTCGTTCTCTATACCCCTGGAATATGTCATAGCAAAAATGAAGGCACACAGCTAGCTATTTGTTTGGTGTCGGGTAAAACATCCTGACCAATCACTAGGCTGATATATCTGTCCTTTGAAGATTACAAAGGGGCGACGCCGACTTCAAAGCCAGTCAATTTTACCGTTACGCGACCGTGAGATTCTTTTGATGTACATCGAAGGACCAAATTCTCGTCTCACCACAAGGTGCTGCACATAGAGACTTCGGTTTTGGATGGTCTGGGGATCAGATAATTGTTCTATCATTTCAAATAGAACCATCAAAACGTATCACATCAAACAATTTACCTGGACTATGTATGGTATGTATGTTGGCCTTGTCATCGCAAACATGTCAATAAATGACTAATTTTACAATACAAACATTGTCGCAACTTGCATGGTTAGTAAATACAAAATATGTTCAGCCATATGGTTCAGTATGAAGTAGCCAGGACAAATTTAGGTCAAGTTTTCATAAAACAGAGCTCAATGCAAAAACCTTATGCTTGGGCCAATGCTGGTAAATTGGCGTCCTGCCTATGCAACATCTGTCACAGGCAGGACTGAAATGCGATTACATTTCACATAGTTTGTCAGCATTATAAGTCGGTGGCTTGACAGTTACTGACCCAGGTACCAAGAATCAACAAAAAGAGGAACAAGAGGTTATAGTGTTTATTTGAGAACACTACAGCCAATCACCTGTGTACAGGTACCAGCATGGTGTAAAATGTTGTATAAACAAAAATCTGCTGTGTAAACATGATACAGTAAAAGACAAAACAGCATCAGACAGGAAAGAGAGACAGAAGTAGAAAGTTCGGAAGACACAAAAATAAAAATTTCAAAAACAATGATCATACATTACAAATTGTACATGCAAGACCACACCAAATTAATTTGATGTGGTCTTATAACAATGATATTTATGATTACAATTCAACCTGATTATTTGGTCTCTAGTCTCCGTGTTAGATATCAACATTCTCCAGTAATCAGCTACTGGAAAATAAACTTGACTGTCTACTTTATGAATAAATCTCACCTAAAACACTGAAGATTTCTGTAAGAATTTCTAGAGTATGTTTCCCTGAAGCCGAATTTGTTTTGCAGAATTTTCGGAAATGATTGTTAAGTATGCCTTTCCCTGAAAAAACCTGTTTCCCTAAATACAAAGCATTTTCTTATTTTGTAAGATAATATTTTCCTACCTTGTAAATTAAAGGCCTTGTAATTATTACTAATTGGAACAGAAATTTGTATAATAATGTTATACACGACACAAAGAATGAATGCCTAATGAGCACTTGATTATGCACATATTATGCAACTTGTAAAAATACTTCCAAGGTTTATACAAAATGCTGACAATGAGCACTATGAAAGTTTATGTACAACTATCAATCTGGACATTTAGGTGTTCTATTAGACAATATTAACAAGTTTCGGTTTTTCACCAGTGTTGAAGTTCATACATTACTTTCCTGAAGGAATGTCTTGTAAACACATTTTGACGAATACATGTAGTTTGTAATAGCACATAACAATATTTTTAGTTTCAATTCTCGTCAACATTATACAGACAATCCCTTGAGAGATTCGTCATATCTTCTGATTATCGTAAACATAATGCTGTCAATATCAAATTGTTGTCGCAATCAAAATTCACCAACTGCACAGGTCAGGAGGTCAACATTGAGCAACGAGATAAAATTCTGTATAAATGGAAAAATGTCTCATCAATTAGCACATCACAGAGGGACACTATTGCATGAAATTGCAACCTTCCTTCTAATCTGCCAACGAATGAGCAGACAACTGTAAAGTAAGGTAGTACGTATGAATTATCACATGATTGCTGTTCTCTGTCCACCCCACGTGGGGGTCATGTTTGCTGCCTTCGCTGCACCCCGTCCAGGAATAAAGATGTCTTCCAGTCCCCAGTACTGCTGCTCCAGCTTGGGTGTGCCCTCCAGGGACAGAAGTCAGAACGAGAATCCCTGCTGTGGAATGGCTGTGGCAGCATTGAACTGGTAAGCATTGCCGTCTGTGCTTGTTGGGGCAACACTCTGGTCTTCTCCCTGTTTCAGATATAATACATATTTTTTAAAATGAAGTGCACACCACTTTACACCATCAGCATCAGGATAAGACAATCTTTAATATTTGAAAACTAGGTGTTCAGTTAAAACACTTTTAGTTCTCAAAATACACAAGGTTGCATATACCTGTAACATTATACTTCCAATACAATAGAATGATTTCTTTTGAACATTAAGAAATATCATCTTTTTGCAAAATAACACTTGGTAGTCAAAATAAATTAAATATTTGGTAAAAAAAGTTTCACCCACCTCATCAGCAAAGTATTTTTCTATGAGTTCCAGTGCTGCCTTGTAGACCTGCTCGTTTTCATGGTTCTGGAGATTCTCAATTTTGTCAAGGCCGCCCGACTCCTCAATCATCACACACACTACCTCCTGTTGGCCAATCTTCTCTGCAGCCTGGAAGAGAGGTTATTGTTTACATACAGATGCTAAGTACTTGGACAGGTCTACCATCCCACAAAATGAACTCACTTTAATAAATTAGTGCACAATTATTTGTACGTTCTGTATTTTTGAATTTGGAAAAAAAGGGTTATGGTGGGTATATATATGTAACTTTAATGCATGTATTGACAAAACACACCAAAAAAACCCAACAATCTTCAGGGTCCAAGTTCATTAACGACTTGATCAAAGTGGTTAAGAAAATATATGCTGTAATCCCATTCAGAAAGAGAAATAATAATTTCAGTATACCAAAAAGGAGAACACTTTGAATCAATTTGTAAATATCTAAATATTCCGTAAATGCCTTACCATCAGGATGTTGCCAATGGCATCAAGGATGACCAGGATAACCTTGGCTTCCTTGACTGTCAGAAGTTCACACAGGGGTTTGATGGCCCCCAGTTGTACTAAATATGCTATCTGCTCCACCGTGCCTCCTGATGTCAGATTGGTGATCGCCCACACAGCTTCCTTCTGGCTCTTGTAGTCACCCTAAATAACAAACGTAGACTACAGTTGACAGATTGCAAATCAAACGACTATCTGAAAAATCCTGAAAGGTACAAGAAAGTAGTCTTTCCCAAATCCTTCCAGATCATTGATGAAATGTTTTTATTCATTAACATATCACTGGAATAATAAATTGGGCTTGAGCACAAAATCTGACTTTGATCACGAGAATGGTTTCATGGATACTAAATTGGGCTTGAGCACAAAATCCGACTTTGATCACAAGAATGGTTTCATGAATACGGGCCCTGGGCAAAAAAAATCCTGGTTGTAAGTGTTGGATACGCTTGATAATTACTGACATAGTATGTTGATTCCCCCTCCACCCTTTTACAAAATATTCCTGTTTTTGAGTATGCTCACTTTGATTAATATTTCTAGTGTGTAGGGAAGGAGTTCTTCATTGATAACACACTGGATCTGCTGTGTGTTGCCAGCTGTGATGTTGGATATCGTCCATGCTGCCTCCTTCTGGATGTTGACCTTATTATGGGTCAGGAGACCCTTAAATGCCTTCAGTGCCCCCTGGTCTATCACATTTTGCGTCTGAGAATCATCACCCGTCACAATGTTGCCTACGGCTCGGAGTGCAGGTGTTATCACAGATACTTCAGAGCCTGCTAGTAACTCCACTAGTCTTGGAACCACACCTACACAGGGAGAAATATTTCTTGTTACAAACACAAGACATTGATTTAAAATAGTTGGCTACCTGAAAAGTGCCAGCTGTTTACAGGTATTTCAACTCTAATAGAGTTGAATATTACCTTATCTCAAAGATTTTGCATGGAAATGCTTCGTCTATTAAGGCATTGGAATTGGTATCACATGAATGACATTATAAATTCACATTTGAGATCATTACCAGCGAGAAAAAAATGTTCTTTTTGTTGAATATACAATGTGTGCAATAGGATGACTTTATGCCACACATTATGAATTATCCGTTATATTTCTTAAAAGCAGGATTGGAAAACAAATTCTTCAATATTATTATATACAAAAAGTAGAACTTCCTGTTACAACTGCCAAATTGGCTTAGAACTTGTCTTGTATGCCACCTACCACTGTCTACAACTTCCTGTATCTTATCGTTGGTACCATCAGTAAGATAGGACAGTGCCCAGCACGTGTCGGTCAGAACCTCTCTGTCATTGTGCTGTAGAAGTCTGGCCAGAGTTGGCAGGAATTGACGCACAACCTTGAACTTGGGAGGGGGGTTCTTGTTCCTGCAGAGGTTGGACAATGTCCATGTGACGTTCCTAAGGAAACCGGCCTGTTGAATGTCAAAGTCACGAAATTATACATCCATATATCAATGTAGTTGGAAGGAACAAAACAACAAGGTCAAAAGCGTAGATTTCTATTTCTGCCGAAGTGAACTTTAGATCTTGTGGAACTAAAAAATGTAACCGGCTCCAATAAGTTGTAAAATTGAGCAGTTGTGCACCCTTAGGAATTTCAGCACATCAACAATGGAATTGGCAAGATAATCAGCGATACTGAAGATCTTTCAGTTTTCAGTTCTGAATATGGTTGATCATTTGCACTTCACACCAAATTGATGATTTCAATTTCTTATATATTGGTATATCTTTTGCCTTCATTAAAAAACTTAAATGAGTGTTTATATACATTCATAATGAATTAAAAGTTCATATTTGACTACATATATTCTTCAAAATTTTATTTAAGTGCTTTTTCCATTTTTTTTGCAGTACCATTATATGATCAATCCCTTACTGGAGTTTCCATACTCTTACTTTCCCCTCAGAAATTTTGACCTTTGTATTGTTGTTTTTTTCGCTCCATGTACTATCAGTAAAGTTATAAAACTTGAAATTTAACCCCGAAAAATTCCTGGTAAAATTGTGGAAGACTTACAGGTGTTTCAGGTTTGATCAGACGAAGTAGAGGCTCAATGATTCCAGATTCTGTCACGTAATCCCTCAAATCAGGACCATCACCTAAAAATAAAGAAAATTATTAATTTAGCTGAATTAACAATTATTCCAACCCTTTGACTAAAAGAAGTGACAACCATTAGCCCCCCCCCCACTTTTCTTCTTCAAACATGCAACTTCTTATGAAAAGGAACCTTTACATGTATAAACAGAAAATATAAGAGGCATTACATGTACTCACATAAAAAAAAGATGTGGAATGAATAGTCCCCAATAAATACCATTGCTATTTATCATACCTGCAATGTTGCCAAGGGCCCACACAGCTTGCTCACATACATTGTGATGAGGAGATGACAGCAGTTTCACAAATGGAGGCACAGCACCTGCCTTCACAACCGACTTTGTCTGGTCACTGGTACCCGAGGCGATATTTGTCAGTGCCCAGGCAGCCTCAAACTGTAGATCTGGCCTACAAAAGGTTGATGCATTCGGTTTAAAAATAATTAATAATAATAAAAAAAATACTCGTTTCCATAATCAGAAAAAAATAGGTGTGTAGGTAGATAGGCTAATTTTTTACATTGGAAAATATATTTTCTATGTTAATAGTATAGAGCTTAAATTTAGGGGAGGTAATTCTTACATGGTATCAGTTTTTTTAGTAACAGCATAGAGGATTTCACAATGTTTTTCCTTACTCATTTACCCCTTGAGGCACATTTGAACTCTTCCAATTCAAAGGTTGGAATAGCTCATTATGAAATTTCTGGGGTGAATGAGTTGAAATGATTATTTATTAACATAGGTCAGTTATTAATGGTAAACAACAAATTTATAAAACTTCAACTGATTCCCAACCCTAGTTGCCTATAGCCTGTATCTCGAGTCTGAAAATTGTCTATACATTTTCTGGACGTTTTGGGAGATGAATTAAAAATCATTTCATGAAACAACAGATGTGATTTCTCATTGTTTTAAAAATCTTTTTGTTTATGGCAAGTGGAAGGACATTTTTTGTAAGTGATCGCTTAAAATTGACATTTACCTATCACTATGAGCAAGGTATTCCACCATTCTAGGAATCACCCCAGTTCTGATGATGTCATCAATTGGTGGGTTCCTCTCTTTGGACAGGAGTTTACGAGCAGCCTGGGTACACTGCATCTGTTGTTGTGGTTCATTTCCATTTATACCGTTGACAATTTCAACCAATGTCAAGCTAACTGCATTAGTCTGAAAAGTATAAAAAGAAACTTGTTTAATTAAATCGTTTTCATCAAATTACATTATCATCAAACAGGTCTCAGAATACTTTAACAAAACTTCTTTCATCAACATTTTTGAGTTGCAATTATGCTAAAATTGATGATGAATCTACAGGTTTTATAACACTTCTTTGGTTTTTGGAGGGAAATTAACATCTAAATTGGAAATGATGTTCTGCTACTTAGGAAACTTTTGGAAAAATAATACTGTTTTCCATTGGAAATAGGTCTAAAAAAATCCTGTCTGTATTTAAATATATCCTCGGGTTACCGGTTTCTGATCGTCAAATTAATTATCAAAACAAATTTGTTAAAATTTCACATTTTTTATTGATTTTTCAAGATGACAAATTGAACAAATTCATGCAATTTATTAATTTATTTAGTTATAATATAGAATCTGTTATTTTTTTTCTTTCTGCAGTCTTATATCGGTTTTGGTTGACGGCAAGTTATTTCTCATTTTGTTCCATTAAATTGGTGAAAATTGGAAGTTCATTGCATTACAAGGTTTACGTTTCATTGAAAACACTGTTTATCGATATAAGAATCAGTGTTCCCCATTACGTAGATATGTACGTAATTCACGTAAACAATTAGGAAATCACGCATGAAAGTTTGGATTTGTACGTATGTTGCACGCAAAGACAAAGACCTCAAATGGGTAAAGAAAAAATAAAATATAGTCATTTCTAGCTTATCAATATATAGTTTGCAATTTCTGACGATAGATGTATCTTGTCCGACGTAATCTCTGAAAAGGAGAGGTAAATAATTGGTTCATCGATCGACCGACCGACCGACCATGATCGCTGTGCGCTAAATTTAGTACTCCAAATATAAAATAAGCCAATCAGAAGCGTGTTTCCAGCAGTCAACAGCGGTTATTTCCCAACACTGAATAATGTTGTCGTTATCAGGATCTCGTTCAACCAGACGCTCTGTTCGTCGTAGCTTGCACAGGCACAAGAGTTTGGGTGAACGAGACTACGACATGGTAGACATAATTTGGGACGGGACGGGACCAAACCTCGGAAGAGTTTCTGTTATTAATTAATCAATAAAAACTACTAATGTCCCTTCAAATGTGTTGTTGTTTTTTGTTAGTGTCTAATTTTCGTGATTTGAAATGCCATGTTTTTGATGAAACAAAATCATAAAACTAATGCATGAGACTTATAAAAAAAGTTTACACTGAATTAAATGACTTGTTATTAATTTGCATCGACACTTGATAAATTAACAAAATTCATAGTAAAGCATGAGACTTAAAATAATTTACATTAAGTTTGCATTAACATTCCTTGTTATTTTGTAATACAAAATTAGTTTCCAATTCAAGCAGAATTGATATAGTTTATGTCAGTCATGTGGCTGTGCAGTTTACAAAAAGAAAATTCTGATTAAGAGGGACAATTTTTGACAAAGTACCAATCTGTTTTTTAGCCTCAAAATACCCCAGAATGCACCACAGAGCTTCCAGATTTCAAAAAAAA